AGCCGAGTTTGCTGATGTTTTTCCGGATGAGCTCCCTTCTGGGTTACCACCTCTTCGGGACATTCAACATCACATTGATCTTATTCCAGGGGCTTCATTACCGAATAGGCCTCACTATCGTATGAGCCCTGCCGAGCATGAGGAACTTCGGAGGCAGGTCGAGGAGCTCCTTCAGCGTGGGGCCGTTCATCGCAGTTTGAGCCCTTGTGCTGTTCCCGCCCTTCTCATTCCCAAGAAGGACGACTCGTGGCGCATGTGCGTGGATAGCAGGGCCGTCAACAAAATTACGGTCCGTTATCGATTTCCTATCCCACGATTGGATGATTTGCTTGATCAGCTTCATGGTGCCTCCATCTTCACCAAGTTAGATTTGCGGAGTGGCTACCATCAGATTCGTATCCGACCAGGGGACGAGTGGAAAACAGCCTTCAAAATTCGCGAAGGCTTATTCGAGTGGATGGTGATGCCGTTCGGCCTATCCAATGCCCCGAGCACTTTCATGCGAGTTATGAACCAGGCACTGCGGAACTTTATTGGCAAAAGTGTCGTCGTTTATTTCGACGATATTCTTATATACAGCCGGACTTTGGATGATCACCTTCGGCATGTTCGCGAGGTACTTGTTGTTTTACGTTCTGAGTCCTTCTTTGCTGCGCCTCGTAAGTGTGTCTTTCTGGTGCCTTCTGTACTGTTTCTGGGCTTTGTGATTTCGTCTGTTGGGATACGTGTTGATGAGGGCAAAGTGGCGGCCATTCGTAACTGGCCGACTCCCACTTCTTTTACGGAGGCTCGTAGCTTCCATGGGTTGGCTTCCTTTTACCGCCGATTTATCTCCCATTTTAGCTCGATTGTGGCTCCCATTACCGACTGTTTGCATGGGAAGGTTTTTTCTTGGACGCCGGAGGCTGCTTCGGCCTTTGATCTGATCAAGGATAAATTGACCTCTGCCCCTGTCCTTGTTCTTCCTGATTTCTCGAGGCCCTGTGAGCTTTCTTGTGATGCCTCGAAGGTTGGTGTTGGTGCTGTGCTTAGCCAGGACGGTCGCCCGGTCTCGTTTTTTAGCGAGAAGTTGTCTGGTCCCCGTCTTCGTTACAGTACTTATGATGTGGAGTTCTACGCCGTGGTTCGCGCCGTTCGTCATTGGCGCCACTATCTTTTTCATCGGGAGTTTGTTTTTTACACCGACCACGAGGCCCTTCGGCATTTGGCTACACAGGATAATATCTCAGCACGTCATGCTTCGTGGACAGCCTTTTTACAGCAGTTCACATTCGTGTTACGCCATCGTTCGGGGATTTCTAATAAAGTGGCCGACGCTCTTAGCCGCCGATCGATGCTATTGACTGATATGCGCGTTTCTGTGGTGGGATTTGATATGTTGCAGGAGACTTATGATGCCGACCCTTTCTTTGGGCCTATTGTCCGTCGTTTGGCGACCGGCCCTTCCGAGGACTATACTTTGGTGGATGGGTTTCTCTTTCGTGGGGTCCGTTTATGTGTTCCGGACTGCAGCCTTCGACAGCAGTTAGTGGCGAATTTGCACGGTGCGGGCCACGTGGGCCGTGACCGTTCGGTGGCCCTGGTTAGCCGTTCCTATTTTTGGTCGTCTTTGCGCCGGGATGTGACCCGATTTGTTGCTCGGTGTCGCACTTGCCATGTATCGAAAGGGGTTGCTTCTAATGCGGGTTTATATCGGCCGCTGCCGATTCCTTCACATCCGTGGAGCGCGATCAGTATGGATTTTGTGCTCGGGTTGCCTCGGACTCAACGTAGGTTCGATTCCATTTTCGTGGTTGTTGACCGATTCTCGAAGATGGTGCACTTTATCCCGTGCAAGCGAACCACAGACGTCGTTCACGTGGCACAACTTTTCTTTCGTGAGGTGTATCGCTTACATGGCCTTCCTTCCTCGATTGTTTTTGATCGTGATACACGATTTTTGAGCCACTTATGGCGGAGCTTGTGGCGGATGGCTAATACACGCCTGGACTTCAGCAGCGCCTATCACCCCCAGACGAATGGCCAAACTGAGGTGGTGAACCGGTCTTTGGGCAACCTTTTGCGTTGTTTGGTGGGTGACAACCTTCGTAGTTGGGACCAACGGCTGAGTCAGGCTGAGTTTGCGCATAACTCGGCGGTGAGTCGTGCGACCGGCCTTTCATCGTTTGAGACAGTTTATGGGATGGTGCCTCGCGGCCCGTCGGATTTAGTGGCCCTACCGGCGGTGGGCTCGAGTGATCGGCGTGCGGCCGACGTTATCAGTGATTTACGTGCCATTCATGAGAAAACTCGGGCTCACTTGGAGGCTACGACGGAGGCCTACAAGAGACGGGCGGATGTACGTCGTCGTCACGTCGAGTTCGAGTTTGGCGATTTTGTGTGGGCCGTGCTAACTAAGGATCGTTTCACTGCCCATGAATACAACAAGTTGTCAGCCCGAAAGGTTGGTCCTGTCGAGGTAATCGAGAAAATTAATCCTAATGCTTATCGTTTGCGCCTTCCTTCTCATCTTCGCACTTCGGACGTTTTCAACGTCAAGCATTTGGTGCCTTATTCTGGTGATCATTTGGATGATGACGAGGCCGCTTCCGATTCGAGGCCGAATCTTTCTCAACAGGGGGGGAATGATGACGACGAGGCCGCTTTAGCGTATCTAGACAAGTTCGACCGGCTCAAGATTTAGTATTATTATTTACATCATCTTTTGTTATTTAGTTTCCTTTTGTTATTTATTTGATGTCCTTAATTATCATGCCTAGTTTAGTTAAATAATCCTCTTGCACTTGTTAAGCAAGAGTAGGACTCTTTTCTCTATTTTTTGAACAGAAAGATGAGATGTAATTCATTCATCGTTGAAATAAAAACTATTGTTCTTCTTCTGCAAGAGAGAGTATCTCTTATTTACAAGTCTTGAGAGAGTATCTCAAGCATCCCAAGCACACGTTCTACATCACATTCTCATAAGTTGTTTCATCATTTTGATCAATAAAAAATTTGGTTTTTATTTATTTGCATATGTATGTATATATAAGTTTAAGTTGTGCTGATTCCAAAAAAATTGGTTGTTATTTATGTGTTTATATATATGTATGTATGCATGTAATATACTGTATGTATATATAAGTTTAAGAAAAAAAAAAAAAAAAATATATATATATATATAAGTTTAAGTGGTGCTGATTTTAAATTTATTAACATTTCAATCAACTAAATTTTGAAATGTTGATTTTGATTTTACATTATTATCATTCGTATATTGCATGTAATCCGATTAATACTAAACTAATATCGATTTGTTGAATTATCTAGTATATCTTTGTTAAATTAATCTCTATTAAGATTATTCAATTCTTTAAAATGAACTATTATTAAAAATTAAAAATTTATAAATTAGTAAAAGATTGAATTGGTGAATAAAAATAAATAAATTAATCTCTATTAAGTTTCTTTAATTCACTAAAACAAATTATTATTGAAAGTTAAAAATTAATAAGACGTGTGTGTTATTCTGCAAAATAAAAAAAACAAAATCATGATAAATTAATTTTATTAATTTATTATTTATACTACATCATAAATAACAAATAGTTTGTTACCTCGTGCTACTTCCTTCATTACATATTATTTCATCTAATTATTTATATGATATCTCGAGAAGTTATATATTTCCTAAAAAAAATGGTATTTAAAACAATATAAATATTTTTTATTATAAATTATACATATTACTAATTAAAAAATTTGAGATTGATGAAGAGGCATATCTCACAATGCCTAACAAACTCGCTGAATTTAGCAGTACATTTTCACGCTGTCAAATATTATTGTGCCATAGATACACAAATCATTAAAATACTATATTGGGGAGGTGTTTTAGGTTACATAGTCTATTCATCTTAGGTATAACTCGTTTTGTAATAAACTCCAATGTGGGGTTACAAAATCTACATGTAACTCTTTTTTTAATGAACTCATAGTAGCATTGGAGATGCTCTAATGCTAAACATCCCTGCATTTTGTGAGGTGAAGTTGTACACAAATCCTTCAACACATTATTCGGTAAACCAATTGTTAAACCATCCCGACGAACTAGATTAGTTCTTCTTGAAAATCGACAGGCCACGAACAATTTTCGACGCCCTAAAAACTCGTGGGCGATTATTACTCTCTGAACACTGGAGCATCAGTCCCCAAACTTCATATCATAAGGGAAAACTAAAGGTCCCTCGTCTACAGCAAAAAGCATCCCTTACTATAAAACACAGCACGCACAGCCTAGCATTCCTCACCCTAGCATTCCTCACGCAAAGCAGAGTCCCAACTAAATTCCATTTTGCAGTTAAACAACAGAAACCATAAGAAAGGACACAGGTAAAAGTATTACTAACAGCATAAATACTAGTCTACAAAAGCGGAAGTCTATCTTTATCAACAGTACCCGGCAGACGAGGGCCCCACTCACTTAAGTTCCTCCCCTTCCGCGGAGGGTGAGTTTCCCCAGGCAGCATCCGAGCCGGCAGCTTTATCTTGCTTGCTGCCTCCTCCGAGCAGGATGTCGTTGAGGCCAGAGTTCGACGGGCCTCCTGCCAGCTGGCTCGTGTCGTTGCTGTGCCCGACGGGCGGCCTTCCCAAGCCCATTTGCGCTTGGGCCGCAGCCTGAGGGTGGGACTGTTCCTGCATTGGGTGTGGACTGCCAAATGGCGGGCCCCGTGGGGGGAATAGACCGCCAGGATGCTGCATGGCGGCGGCTTGAGGGTGATGTGGCATGTAGAACCCTCCCTGTTGCATGCTGGGATGTGGGGGAGTCATCTGCGTAGTTTTAGGACATTTGTATTAATATTAATATACGCGGTTAATAAATAATACAAAAGTTTGTGACAACCCGAAACAGGATATAAAATATTTAACTCATTTTTTTTTTCCAATTTAGGTCCTAATGATAGATTTTCCTAATTTTGTTTTTTTTTTTTTTTTTTTT